AAAGTATCCCATTTCAGAGCCCCAAAAAATCATGGCCGTGAATATGTTCTCTTTCTCACCACAATCATTGTTTCATCTTCATTTTCTTCAAATGTTGGCACTTAGGATTTGTAATTTAAGTCTGAGATGGAGATGATGAGAGTAATCATCTCTCAATAAGCATCAGAGGCAGAAATAAGCAAAAAGTCCTGTGCAAGAATCCTCCCAACTTAGACTCTACCTGGAACATATGAAAGATTGGTACAGTAGAGAACCATCTACAGAAAAGAACATGAAAAAACAAAGGTGATGTCTTGGGATTTTTCTTTAACACTCCGAAGTGATCTAAATTCCCAGCACTGGCACATTCTAACTCAAAAAAAAAAAAAAATCTGTTGAATGAATGTGTAGTTGCTTACATATTCTAGTTGTTACATCCTTGGTGCTTAGAAGATCACATGATACATAGAAGATGCTCAGAAAATCTTTGTTGAATGACTATTGAGTAAATGTTCTGTAGAATGAATAAAAGACAGTTTCCTATAAGTATGATATCCCCATATGATTTCTCTCAGGATACTCTAGGATAAGAGAATAGTTTGAACAAACAGCATAGCCACAGGTTTAAGTAAGAGGGCTCTGGAGTTAGACTGACTGACTTGTAGTCCAGATCTAAGGTTTTGTAGCAGAATGACCTTAGGCAAGTGATTGGCCAGATGAGAACTTCAGTTTTCTCATCTGTAAAATGAGGATAATATTGATCCTACCATGTAGTGTGCATGGAGAGATTCATGTGGTCACATTTGCAAGACCTTTCGTGTAATGCCTGACACTTCATAAGCGCTCAGTAAATTTGGGTTACTGTTACTGCTGTTATATCTTCTCCTGTAGAACGCTTACTACCTATTTTATGAAAAACAAAAACATGGCACCTTTTACAAAATGATTTTACTAATATTAATTCTGAAGAAGCAATACAGTAGCATGAATGACAGTTCAATGGTTATATTAGAGTGGAAGACCATAATGTGAGAGAAAACAGAAGAAAACATTTGAATTAACTTGTGATAAGGCATATAAGGAGTACTAGAGAAGTTAATGGGAAGATTGATATATATATAGGTACTATATATATTAGAGACAAACTGAAAAACAGAAGTGTGGGGGACAATCAGGATGGAAAGAGATCCTGATTTCTGGGTAAGTCTTATTGAGCTAGACCTTGAAGGATGACTAAGTAGAGACACATCGGGAGATTGTCCAAGGGAGCAGGGGTGGCCTATGTGGACAAAGGGAGCAAGAGAATTGAGGTCAAGATAATGCTTTGAGGGCCGGCCCAGTGGCGCATTGCTACAGTGCGCCGCTTTGGAGCGCAGCGACGCTCCCACCGAGGGTTCGGATCCCACATACAGACCGGTTCCCACTCACAGGCTGAGCGAGGTGCGGGCGCAACACTGCGGGGTTGCGATCCCGTTGCCGGTCACGAAAAAAGACAAAAAGGACAAAAAAAAAAAAAAAAAGATAATGCTTTGAGATTGTCATGCTGGGGCACAGTAAATGTGCCGATGTGCTTTGTGTTAAGTGTGAGGATTGTGCTAAACACATCATATTTAACATCTAATGAAAGTTATATCTTGGCTCATATGATATGAAATAATAAGAAATAACTATTAATTACCATTGAGACTTCATTTTCTCCATATGAAAATCAAAGAGACAATAGTAGCTTCACAGTACACTCAGCATTCTCTGAGATCTTTATGCAGAATTCAGACAGGCAGAGGAGATAATGGGTCTTTTCCCAGACTTTCCTCATAGGAATCTCTTCACTGATTATTCCATGTCTATGTGAAGGCATGTCTTCCATTGAGAATATTACTTTTCCCCACCCCATCCCGTTCCTCAGCCCCACTGCATTCTGTAAATGTGCATGTAGTGTGGATATAGACAGAGGTTATCTGGCAATATAAATGTGTCCCCTCATCCTCAGTGGAACCCCAGACCTTACACACACACACACACACACACACAAACACATGTACACACATGCACACCTACATACATTCAACATCCGGCGCACTTAATGCTACCCCTTGATATGTAAAGTCCTACAGTGAGAGGCTAGAGGTTCCAACATACAATAAGACCTTACAAAAGAGCCCTGGGAGAAAGTGCCTCATGTCTAGGGGTTGCAGTGAGACACACAGATAGATGGATTGAAAAGAACAATAAATGGCACAAAAACCTAAGAGCAGGGCTGATCTTCTTTGCAGACCAGGCCAAAGGAACTAGAAAATAAAAAGACACCTCAAATGGAGAAAGTGCCTTGGCTGCAAGGGGAAAAGAAGCGGACCCTCTCCAGCTCTATCCCCTGTTGACACACATTCCCTCTACTTAGTCAAGTTTTTATTCCTCAAGATAAACCTGAAGGCCAAGCTGCCAGAGATGAATTACAAAGAGCAGCTCTCTGCTCAAGTGGCATTTGAAATGCCAAGCAGTCGGGGGCCAATAAAGTCACTGCTTCTGCAAATCAAATGAAGAAGCTCCTCAACATGCATAACCCTGCTTGGACACACTTGCCAAAAGAGGGAGAGGGCAGGAAGGAAAATGGACAATGAAAGTACCAGAATAGGTAACATTTTTATTCCTACTGCACTTATTGTAGCCCTCTAGAGTGTTGAATGGCTAAGACAGAGTCATTTCTCATTTCCGAGAATGGTATGGAGGGAAGACCAGTAGGACTTTGTGAATATTCTGATTTATGAAATTTAATTTTTTAAGAGCTGGCAGTTGAGTCATATTTAAGTATATAACAGCCTATTCAACGTAGCAAAACCAATATGGAGTTCCCTGGTGAGCAGCCCTCTTGGAGCTGGTATAGTGAATAACTAAATATCATCTGTAATTAAAACACTGCTGTTGGGAGGGAGAGTGCTCCTGGAGTTTATGTCTTCCACATTTGCCGAGGATCAACAATACAGAAGAAATTGTTCTGGCTGCTGTTGATTGCCCGAAATGCAGCTTGCTTTCTGAAGTAGTTCAAAGTATTCCGCTCAGTAATTCATTTATACTATTTATTTGCTTAACAAACTTGTCTTTCCAAAAGAGTACAAATCTGGCCCAACTCTAAAATATCCCAGATGCCAAATCAGCAGGTACAAACTAATGAGGTCTGACTGTGTCAAAAGTGAAGGCAAAACATGTATCTTCTCTCGACTGAAACCCACCTCTTTGAACTGACAAATTCAGAGTTGTATTTGTTCAAAGCATGTTGGAAGTCAGACAGATTTGGGTATGAATCCCAACGCTCCATGATCTTAAGCAATTAAATTTTGTCTACACCTCTGTCTCCTCATCCATAGAATTGGGATAAAATCTGTTGTGCAGATTTATAGTGAGTAATGGAAGTTTTATATATGAAGTACAGGGTATAGTGTGTGCTATTTGCAAGGACTGAAAAGAATGGCAGGTAGTGTTTTACTCTTCTGCTTAGAAATGTCCACATTATCATATAGAAGGCCTGAGTTAAGTTGAATGGGTTCAATATGCTTGCTAACTTATTCACTTACTCCCCGTGTGTGTTCCAAAAAGGTGCTTAATCAGTCTCCATTTTCTCATCTTCAAAATGTGGCTAATGATAATCCTATTCTATGGTTATTGTGAGGATTAAATGAGATAATGTACATGGAGTGTTGGAATGCACTACTCAGCACGTTTTAGTGTTGACACATTTCAGCACTTTTTCTCACTGCTCTCCAGTATTCCTGGGTTGTGATAATTTTGAGCAGGCTAAAATATGTATGATTGTGTTTTATAAACTCTAAAATACCTGAAAATATAATGCACCATTGATCATTTGTTTTGGCACAATTTTGACAATTTACCAAATGTTACCTGTTTTCTAACATATAGAAGAGGAAAGGCAATCTTATTTTCAGAGCCAAATAATGAATAAGAACGGTTTATGGTGAGAACAATGGTGTTATACAAATGGAGTAGGGTTTATTTTATAATTTAGGGAAACCACTGTTTTTTTTTTTAAGTTTAAAAGCTGTTCTTTTATGTTTAATGTATTTTGGTGGCTTAAATTAATAGAGAGATCTTTTACAGAAAAAAAAATAAAAAAGCAGTAGTAATTGTTGGATCAGGAGTGACCTCTTTCAATTGTCCAAGGCTGAAGGTAGCTCGAAAATTTAGATACTCATTGAGAGCATGAGCTGTGAAGCCACAGAGTTCAGGATTAAAATCCCAGGTCTGACACTATCTGTGAGTCCTTGGACAGTGTGACCTTGGGCAAGTCATTTTATCTGGATGAGTCTGAGTTTTCCTCATCAGTGAGATAGAATAAATGATATTTACCCAAGAGGACTGTTACAAGGGTTAGATGAGATAAAGTTCTTAAGACTCTGGGTGCTGTGCTAGCATACAATAAAAGTCATCCGTATTTATTTATCATTTACCAAGCAACAGAACCGTAAGCACCAGATTCATCTCATGACAACTGCAGGCTACTGCCACCTTATGTTAGGGGTAATAGAAGACTCAATCAAACTTGTATTATGACCCACATATGTTAAGGGGCAACAATCTATTGCTTTTGTTTCCACAGCCCTGCTAAGCATAAGCATCACCTTCCTTCCCCCATTCTCACCCTCTCCTCCAAAACAAGTGCTTCAGCTGAATTTGACAGCTTACTGTTTTTCTGTTTTGTTTTGTTTTGTTTTAAGTAAATAAATATATCTCTTCTCAAACTGATGTATTTTTCAGCCATGTCAATTTTTCCCAGGTAGCAGGGATAAAGGGAATGTTCTTGGCTAACAAGAAGATTGACAACCAAGTGAAGACTTTCATCACGTATAACAAAGGCAGAGACTGGCGTTTGCTGCAGGCACCGGACACGGATCTCAGGGGAGACCCTGTGCATTGCTTACTGGTGAGTCATCATAGTGGAGTGGCATGCCCGTGCAGTGGAGGGCTGGAAATAAATGTTAACAGATGAAGAAGATAGTTCTGGGACTTTTGGTCAGTAAAGGAACAAAAGAGGCAGGGAAGGCCATGAAGGCAGAGTGTGAAGAAGAGTCACAGAACTGCGTTTTGTGATGGGCTCAAGAGAGAAGAGAACGTCGGTTAAGTTCCTTGCTCACTTCCAGCATCCACATTTCCAGCCCAAGTTCTGATGAGGATGTTAAATGGTACTTTAAGGGAGAATGTGATAGTTTTCAGCTCTGGTGAGGATAAACCCCAAACACCCTTACTTTCTCATTAATAACCTATTTCAGATTGAATGATTCAAATTCATCTGTAGAACTGATGAACTTAATGCAAAATTATGTAGGTATGTTTTTCTGTAGAGATGTTTAATCACACTTTCAGAAAAGTTTATGATACAAAAAAGGATTAGGACTCCTGATTTAAGCCCTCATTGGTTTTCTTTATAATATGAGGATACTTCAAAAAGTTCACAAAAAAATAGAATTAAAAGATAATACTAATCTTTTCCATGAACTTTTTGAAGTACTCTTGTACGTTCCATTCATTGGTCTTATTCTATACACTGGGGTTGGCAAACTGGCCTGTGAGGATAACATGGCTCACCACTTATGTTTCTAAATAAGGTTTTGTTGGAAGATAGCCACGCTTATTCATTTATGTCTACCGCTGCTTTCACTAGACAATGGCAGAATACAGTAGGCATGACAGAGACTGTGTGGTCAACGGAACCTAAGATATTTGATACCTGGCCCTTTAAAAAAAAGTTTGCTCTCCCCTATGTTGAAATATGACTTTCTTTTAGTTGTCTTACATCTGGGCAATAAGTACATCAGCATGAATTTATTTACATATTTATTGATGTGATGGATCAAAGATGGATCTTGCCTTCAAGGAGTTTGCAGTTTACTTGTCTATTGTATGAAACTAGTTTGCTAAATAAAAGACTCTAGGGTCACATTTTACTTGTGTTAGTAGCTCTGATGTCTGCCCCATACTCAGCACACCAGTAGATACTGAGTGGATGCAGAAGAAGGGGAGGAAGAGATTAATTGCATGTTGCAAAACAAAGTATTCTTAAATTAATACTATCAGTTTCTATAAAACAGTTCAGAAAAAGTGTTTAAATTCAGAAAAGGGAGAGACCAATATGTAAACCTAGAGGGAAGACCTCTTAGTTTTAGGAAGAAGGGCTTGGGGGTGTGTGTGTATGCATACTTGTGTGTATGTGTGTATTATATGTGCCTGTGTGTATACTGTATGTGTGTATATACTGTATGTCTGTATATTGTATGTTTATATGCTGCATGTGTGCATATACTGTATGTGTGTATGTGGTATGTGTGTATACTGTATGTGGTATGTGTGTGTATATACTGTATGTCTGTATATTGTATGTTTATATGCTGCATGTGTGCATATACTGTATGTGTGTATGTGGTATGTGTGTATACTGTATGTGTGCATGCACACTATGTGTGTATAGTGTTTGTACACTGTATATGTATATACTGCATGTATGTATGTATATTATATGTGTGTATACTATATATATATGCATATACTGTATGTATTTGTGCATACTGTATGTGCCTATGTGGTATGTGTGTATACTGTATGTGGTATGTGTGTGTATATACTGTATGTGTGTGTGTGTGCTTTATGTGCACATATACTGTGTGTATGCTGTAAGCATGTGTATATTGCATGTGTGTATATACTGCATGTGTGTATACTGTATGTGTGCATGCACACTATGTGTGTATAGTGTTTGTACACTGTATATGTATATACTGCATGCATGTATGTATATTATATGTGTGTATATTGTGTGTATACTATATATATATGCATATACTGTATGTATTTGTGCATACTGTATGTGCCTATACTCTGTATACTCTGTGTGTGTACTGCATGTATGTGTGTATATTGAATGTGTGTATACTGTATGTGTGTGTATGTATGTACATATAAAGTGCATATATATATAGTTATATATATATATATATATAGTTATATATGTACATATAAAGTGCGTAGATGAAGTTGTTCACACTCTTCATACAATTCCAACTTTGATGTTATCCATGCTCAGCTTGCTTCCTTCCATCCCATGAAGTCTGGACAGTCATTGTGCAGGTTCATTTCATACAGCTGTAGGCAGGGCACCCTCCTACTTGAGAGGGTTCCAGCAGCCATAGCTTGACCTTATTAGTTGTAAAGGATATCGCAGTTGTCGCTGTGCATCAGGGAAACAGTCTAAAGTTTGGCCTCCCACTCAGCTTCCATCCTTATCACTGACAACTTACAGTGGGGAAAAAGGCAATTGTTATAATAAGTGCATAAAGCCAGTGATGGAGTAAGTAAATGTAACAGCTATTTATTGAATATCCACTCTACTTCTATGCAAGGCACAATTCAGTGGCATTTCAAAAAACAGCACCACCTTCCTAGTTTAGCTCTTCCAAGTCGAAGCATTGTGATATACAGCCAGAAATTCATGGGATGCGTCAGCACCTTAACGTGGCTCTTCATTCCCACTGTGCACTTTGGAGATGAAATATGTGTGAGAGGGAATTAACCACGTCACCTAAACAGGCTTGCTTGGGCACTTGGCATCATAAATGGACCATTAGAAATGCTTCAAACAAAACACTTAGCAAGGTGTTCACTGCTCCACCCTCAATCCAGTGTCAGGAAATCTTATTGCTGTGCCTCCAAATATGAATGCAGTTAGCAGCTTACTTCTCCATCTCCACTGGCACTATCCTAATCCAAGCCACCATCATTGCTCACTTGACCTACAGTGACCAGCTCCTAACTGGTCCTCCCTTTTCTACCTGGCAATCCATTCTCCACACAACAGCCAACATGACCTTTTTTTTTTGTTAATCAACTTCACTGAGGTAAAACACATACATATTTTAAGAGTATAGTTCAGCGAATTTTGACAAATATATATACCCATGTAACCACTACCACAATCAAGATAGAACATTTTCATCACCCAAGAAAATTGCTTTGCCCCTTATCAGCTAGAACCCACACTCCCAGCCCTAGACAACCATTGATCTGCTTTCTTTTACTATACATTAGATTTTTCTTTCCTAAAATTTTCTGTAAATAGGATCAACTTGAACTTTTAAAAAACAGATCACATTTCTCTTTTCCTTAAACCTTCTATGGCTTTCTGATTCAAGGAGAATAAATTCATATATTTCATTGTGGCCTACAAGGTTGTGATCTGGCTCCTGTCTACTTCTCCTACCTGGTCCCCAACCTCTCTGTCCCTCCTTCCTTCCTTACACATAAGCCATGGTGAGGAAGGTTTTTGTTTGTTTTTGTTTTTTCATACCATGAACTCACTGTGTTTATGTCTTAGAGTCTTTCTTAGGGTCTTTGCATTTATCATTATTTCTCTTAAAATGCTCTTCTCCTAGTCAGGCTTTTTCTTGGCATTTAGATCCTTTTTTGATTACCTTAATCTCAGAGTCTTCCTTGAGCACCCTCTAAAATTGTATTTATCTAAATTCTTTTTTCTTCATGACTCTTATCACTATCTGAAATCATCACATATACCCGGATTACCTTAATCTCAGAGTCTTCCTTGAGCACCCTCTAAAATTGGATTTATCTAAATTCTTTTTTCTTCATGACTCTTATCACTATCTGAAATCATCACATATACCCATTGACTTTCTTGTCTATCTTCCCCTGGTAAAATGATAATTTTATGAATGTAGAGACCATGACTTTCTTTTTGGCCATTCCAAAGAATTAGCTCCAAGAATCATACCTGCCACAGGGTAGGTGCTCAATATACGTGTTGTTATTGTGGGGGTTATGTGTGTCTGGAGTAGGCACTCCATTGAAACCTGTTGTTTGAGTTTCACATTTGCACTTTAGTAGAAACCATTCATTCCCTCTGAGCATCCCACTAGAGGATTTGTCATAATATTCACCCTCTGAAGTTCATAGGCTCAAGTTGACCCTGAAGTTAACAAAATCAGGAGGCTCATTAAGATTGAGAAAAGATGAATTACTGGAATATAGATGGATGGTATCTCGAAGCCTCCTGGGCTTCCTCCCTCATTAACCCTAATGCTTAATGTAGTTTCAATCTGAGCTTTGGGAAATAGGCAGCAGGGTGAGGAGGGAAAAATGACAAAGGGATTGGGGAGAAGAGACCAAAATCACTTTATAAAAATCTGCCAAAGGCACAAAATAGGAAAGAAAACCTTTGAGCTTCAGGAAACCCAGGCTATTAAAAACCTTCTTTAGGCTTGGGAGCTGGTGGCAGAGAGGAGATAAAAAGTGATTTTAGATTGTGAGTACTTGGAAAGTGGCAGTGTCACCGAAAGCACAGCCTAGTGATTAGAAAAGACTTTTTCCAGCAGGGCTGTTACAAATGTGGAACAAGTTCAGAATTACAGCTCAAATGGAATGTTCCTGCTAAAATGTATGCTACAGAAATAAGACATCCAGGGTAATTTGGGGCTGTATTTTTAGGACTTTTAGGCTGATTGCCTGGAGGGCCCAGTTGGGATTTCTTTCCTCTGAAGACTGTGTTGTACAATTAGATAGGGTATTACAGGTTATGGTCCACCTGCCTCCAAAGCCTCAAGACTGGGCTCCCATGGGCAAGATATGAGCAGTGCTGGGTCTGTGACAAATCCTTGTGCCCCTAGGGAAAGTACAGTGTTTTATAGAAATAGCTCCTGACTTCTTTATGGATTTATGTCGCAGTTTTTTCCAGGGGCTGAGCAGGTATTTATTTCCTCTGCCCCAGGAGTTTCTTTTGTCTAGTTTTCACCCCCTTGCACTGTTGATTACTCTACCTGTGCTGGATTGGAGTGGGGCTGAATACCCCATACCCAGCCAATTTGTCCAGGGGCTTCCCTCTTCTTTGACATTAATGCTTTACTGAAGATCTAATGGATTCCTAGCTCCAGTACAGGATTCAGAGTCAGAAACTGCACAAATGTGTGTGTATTTGGTGGGGTGGGGAGACATAAGGGGCTAGGGATACTATTCGTGAATTTACCTGCTGCCTTGTTATTTGAGAAAGTTCTGATCTGTCTTTTCAGCATAGTATTCAGATCAGTAGCCATGGGATAAAGGTACCATGAAGATAGGCTTTAAAGACTGTTGATACAGAGTTGGGAAAGAAAGAATTAGAATTTGCAGCTGGTTCACTCTCAAATAATCTAAGTTTTTAAAGTTGATTTATTTCATGGTAGGGAAATGTCTTCTATCATTTGGTAATTCCCCTTTGGCCATCCACAGTGCAAGAAATATAGTAGATAATTAGTGGATCACCTGGTGAACATTTGCTTAGTGAAATAAGCCTGGCACAGAAAGACAAATACTATATGTTCTCAATCATATGTGGAATCTAAAATGATCAAACTCAGAAACAGAGAGGAGAATATTGGTTATGAGAGGCTGGGGAGTGGGGCAGATGTTGGTCAAAGGGTGCAATATTTCAGTTAAGCAGGAGGAATAAATGATAAGTATTTGAGGTGAAAATAATATAATGGATCAACAAAATCCAGCAGCTATTTATTGAACATTTGCAATGACCAAAGGACTTTATGTGTTAAAATAAAATATAAAAGAATAAGGCAAACAGAAGATAATTAGAACCTAGAGATCCACTGATAGGCTTCACAGGTTTGCGAATTCCCTGAAATTGAATGAAACTGTGCACTAAACGTTTGTGCACTTTTTTCTTGGTCCTTAATTTTCATCACATTCTCTAACTTGGTACCTGACTCTGAAAAGATTGAAGACTGAGGGTCTAATTGATCCTAGAATTGACCAGTTGATGATATACCATGGCCTGTGCCTACGTGTGAGCGGGGACGCAAAGGGCAGTCTCCAAACCGGTGTGCTGGTCCCTCCATCCTCTGCAAGTGCACTGCTAGGTCACTGGTGGTTGCAGTTTACATGCCTGTGTTTTCTTTATGTGGAGGGAGAAGGGAAGTGGAGAACTGCACTTGAAACAGGCTGTGCTTTGACTCTGTTGAGTAGAAGTTAACCCTGAAAAGACAGAAGCAACCACTGTCACTATTAGCACATAGTAGGTACTAAGGAAAAGAGGGCAGAAGGCGAGAAGGAAGGGCGAGGCCTACAAAGCGCCCCCTGCCAGGGACAAACGTACATAAGAATTGGAGAACCTTGTCTTGTGTTGTCCGGGAGCTCGGAGAGGCTTGATAGCCACTATAATACACCTCTCTATCAATTTTTGGTTACTTAACTTTGACAAATGTCTCAAACGGGTCAGACACAAAAGTTTAAGTTAAACAAATAAAGATACATCGCTTCACATTGTTTTTCTTCAAAACTTTGTGTAGACTACGTAAATTCCCTGAAAAAATGAAAGAAAGAAAAAAACCACAGAATATTCTCCTTGTACCAGCTGGGGGCAATCCAGTCCTGCAAATGTGAGAGTGGAGAAAAAAGTGCATCAAAACGATCATTTCTAATGTTGCTGCTACTGCGCGAAATGGTGTCTTTTCTTCTCAAATTAATATATCTCGGGCCTCTGAAAGCCATAGCAACAGAGCAGTGCTTAGACAGCCACTAAAAATGCTGTCTTTTCTTTGCAATGGCAAGTACCCCATACCAAATAATCCTTGGCTCAGTTGGCAACTGAGCTTCACAGTCTTCCAGCTGTGGCAAGCAGCTGGCTCAAGATTACAACCCGGGTGCTCCGTCGGCCAGGGATGTCCTGCTGTCGGGTGATGTAAAAGGCCTTCCATTATGCCCAAATGTCTAAGGATAATCCCCCAATAGTACACTTCTTGTAATGCCCTGGAGATGCTCACAACATCACTCAGATTATGTGGTTCGTAAGCAAGCCCACAAACTGCTAGCATTGCTCTGAGTAAAATAGTAAAGTGGTATTTTTCATGTCCTAACAAAAATGTGTTACTTGATATTTCAAGCTTTTATTGACTATCTTTTTTAGATTCTGTACTAAGTTCTACAAAAGATGCAAAATAGAACTTGATGTGGTTTGTTTGTTTGTTTGTTTTTAATTTGTGGAGCGTATCTCTTAGGGGGATAAAACTGTATATTCCTGAAACAGAATTATGCATGGTAAAATAAGTCGTGGTAGATCAGAGAAGGGGAGACCCTGATAGGTTGCAGTTGTTGGGAAAATGTTCTGAGGTTTGGCACCTCTGCTTTACGCTGCTTTAGCATCATCTAAGTGATATGTAATGCAGTCCTAGGACCTCTGCGACATTTAACAAGACCCATTCTAGTCTTGGACAAAAGGAAGCCAAGTGTTTGGGTTTAATGTTTCTTCTTATAGGATCTGTCTTCCCTACTCTTATGGAACATTATAAAGTGAAAACTCCTTTTCTTAAAGCTTTACATGAAATTTTTATGTAAAACCAATCATTTACTACTATTATTACTCCCTGAGAGTCTTACTTTCTATGTTGGCAATGAGGAAAAGACCCTATTGTGATCTGCTTTTTTATTTCACCAATATTTGGGCTGCTTTTGTTCCTGACTTTCATTTTTAGTTTGTCATTTACTCCTCCTATATAAATTTAATCATCGTATCTGTAGCTCTCTGAATATCTGCTGGCTGAGACTTAACAGAGCAGAATAAAAGTAATAACAGAGATACATCAGTGATTCTAAAAATTCAAGTCAATAAGATTAGAAAGTAATCTTCTTGAGAGATGAAAAGAAATGTGGGTTCAAACACAGACTTGTATTTGTGACAACTCAGAAGTACAAGAACTATTTTAAAAGAAATCCATGTCAGATTTATTACCCTTTATTTTGAAAACTGTTGATACCTTGATCTGAAAATTTTATCAAGGTCTTTATGCATATAAACAAATCCCTTAAATTTTCGTTTAAATTTTTATTACTAGTCCATTTTGTCTACAAGGAAGACTTTTATATTGAATAATATTGATTCTGGTAATATCCTGGAAGAGACACTGTGTCAATTATTTGGTGGATATTTTGACAATTCACATGTCATACAGATTTTTCTATGCAACTAAAACCAAGGTCTCAAAAGGAGAGCGACTAAGAGATACCAGCCGACTTCTTTAAAGTCCCCCTGGTCTGACTCTGACTTCTTTTCTGGCTACATACCCCATTTCTCCTCTTTACTCTTACCTGGCTGCATACTGTATTGTTCATCTCTTCTGCTGCTTTTATTGTTGTTGTTATTGATATTACCCAGGCCTGAACTGTCCTTTAAGCTCTTGAACATCTCACCTGCCATTCGTAGCCTACCCATCTTTGCCTCAGGTACCATTTTGTCCTTGGAGCTATCCTTGATCCAAAGTTGGACACAGTCTCTTCACCTTCTAGAATCTCATAATATTTTGTTTCTACCTGTCTTATGGCTGTTGAAGTATTCTCTTTTTATGGTAATCAATAGGAAGATTTCATGTCTTCTACTTAAATTATAATCTCTGTAATGACAGAGACCAAATTTTAGTCAGTGTAACTCTTTCATCAGCTTTACCTAGTATTTTACAGATAAGGCACTAAAATGTTTCTTAAATGACCAAATGGCAATTAAATCAGTAGATTAATCCTAAAATGAAGATGTTCTCTCTTTCACCAACTTGGCAACAGTCTTACACTTAGTGGACACTAGATATTTGTGGAATGAAAGTTGGTTGATGGGTGGATGGAGGGGTGCATGGATGGATGGATGGATGGGTGCTCTCAATCTGGGCTTTAAATGACCATTTATATTATATGCTTTTATTATACTCATTTCTCCTCTTCTCAGCCCTATTGCTCATTGCACCTTCACCTGAAGGTATCTGAGAACCCCTACACGTCAGGGATCATTGCTAGTAGAGACACAGCTCCAAGCATCATAGTGGCTTCAGGTAAGAAGCTTGCCTGGTTTGTTTGCTGTTGTAATTGGTATTTTAAGAAGCTAGATATCTGTGCTTGGCACTCAATGAGCAAACTAAAAATATTTTCAAAAGGTACCTAAACTATTGACTCTGGAGTAAGTATGCTGAAAACACCTGCTCAGAGGGAATGTTTTCAGTCAAAATCCTTCTCAGGCAAAGCAGATTGCCAATATAGTTCATTGTTAGCTTTTGCAGAAAGTTCCTTTCACTAATGGTGATGCACTCTTTCTAGGAAATATAGGTTCTGAACTGTCAGACAGTGACATCAGCATGTTTGTCTCTTCAGATGCAGGGAACACTTGGAGACAGGTAAGAAAATACCCTGGGCAAAGTTGCTGAAGTGGCATAAAAATTGCTGCTAAGTGGCATAAAAATCCTACAACTTGGTACAATTATGGGAACTTATTCGGCATTACTACACATAAATCCTAAAGGCTGCTAATGTGTTTATTTTCCTTTTTATATACAAAAGTCTTAAACAAATCTTTGAATTTAGCAAATATTTGTGCAATTTTTTTTTTTTGTCATTTAACAAAGATGGCCCTTATTGACAGCCTTTATGTAAGAACTTTTATAGGTGACAGTGAAACCAAATTAAGCCTGATTGAATTTTTCCCATTAAAAAAAAAAAAAAAAAAAAAAAAAACAGAATCCCTAAGAGTTTATCATGTAAGGAACATGGAGACCAAAGGTTAGATTGCATAGCTAACTGAATTGCCTCCATAAATTTCCCTTATCTCAAAGTCAGAATACAGAGGAACGCAGTGATATAGAAATAGCCATTACCCAGGTGACATTCTAAAATGTTTAAATCTCATGTGCAAAAACAGAGTAATAACTATCAGGATGCATATGTTAGATAAAGTAGGAATGGAATCACTTTAAACAAATGTGTTTAGCTTAAATGCTTCCTGCCTTTCTTCTGGATGAAAATTATATACCCCTGGCTTATAAAACAGGCATTTAATGAGGTTTAGCAATCATAACAAGATAGGTGCTTAATGCATGGTTGTTACACTTCAACAAATATGTTTTAATAGCTCACTGATGTTTAATTATCATACAATAACCAGCACTGTAAATTGAAATCTAATGCACAGGTAATCACACTTAGCAATGACAGCATTCTGCTTTAAATTTTAGATAGAGATATCCACATTATGGTCCAGCTGCCACTTCTTAGCTTCAGACACTTTCTAGATCCCCAGTAGGATTTTTGTATTTTGAGAGGAACAAGGCAGGGAAGAAATTTGCTTAAGAAACCCCAGAGCAACTGATCTGTGAAGTATGCAGGAATGTGGACTATTCTAAAGAAGCTTCCTCTGGAGAATAGAGAGCTAGAATCCCATTTTCTTCCTTTCAACAACCCAGACAAGGCAAAGAAGACTCTACTTCCATAGTCATGGGGTGCATTTTGTATATAAGAAGTAAACAAAGGGGAAAAAAGATTATGCCTGTAGCGTAACTCTAGACGAGGTTATGGTCTACCAGCAATTTGACTGAGGAAACAGCATGCACTTTGTATAGAAAGGATTTAGAGAGTATTTCCAGCATGGTTCCATTCGACTTCAAATTGGTTTCTACACATTTGGAGAAAGACCCGATACACATGCACCCAAAGAGGACAATTCCATTTCAATCAGAACTACCCTTGACTTGGTAGAGTATTTATGAATCAAACAAGAATACTGTTTTAGTCAGTTTCATTTTACTATAACAGAATACCTGAGACAGGGTAACTTATGAAGAACAGAGGTTTACTTGGCTTACGATTCTGGGACAGCTGCCTCTGGCATGGGCCTCAGGCTGCTTCTACTCATGGTGGAAAGAAGCAGGCAGGCTGCGAGTACAAGCAGGTCACATGGGGAAAGGAAGCAAGAGAGACAGAGGGGAGGTGCCAGGGATTTTTTAAACAACCAGTTCTCATGGGAACTAATAGAGTGAGAATGCAGTCACTACCCTCTTTCCCCAGGGATTGTATCAATCCATTCAGGAGGGATCTGCCCCCATGATTCAAACGACTTCCAACACTGCCATGCCACATTGGGGATCAGATTTCCACATGAAATCTGGGAGGACTCCGTCAAATAACTATGGTTGAAATCCAAACTCCATCAAATAACTATCTTTGATAACACTTGGAAACTTCAAAACAATTAGATCTGAAAGCTCACTGTAATGCAGCAAGTCCCAGCTCCTTCAATTACTATATGCATGGTTTTAGGCAAGTCAGCACATCTCTTTAAACTTTGGCTTTCTCATCTGTAAAAATCAGAATATTGGAGTAAACTATCTCTAAGGACTCTTCCATCTAGAGATGTATAATATATGATTATTACCCAATATTCTGGCATCATCAAAAATGAGAATCAGTAGAAAATATCATGAAAATAATGAAATATAAACCTAAATACATAACTGTTCATTTTTAAAATTTCTTTTTTTTTTTTTGTCTTTTGTCTTTTTCCATGTCCGGCAACGGATCGCAACCCTCAGTGTTGCCCCCGTACCGGACCGGGGACCGGCAACGGGATCGCAACCCTCAGTGTTGCTCCCGCGCCTCACTCAGCCAGTGAGCGGGAACCAGTCTGTATGTGGGATCCGAACCCTCGGCGGGAGCGCCGCCGCGCTTCCCAAGCGGCGCACTATCCAGTGCGCCACCGGGCCGGCCCTTTAAAATTTCTTTTGTTCACACTTAAAATTATTTTATGTATCACCAATAGTACATATAGCCCACATTGGGAAGCATTGTTCTATAACTGTATTTTCCCAAAGATCTAGAGAAACCTATTTCCTGGGTGGTATTTCTTTCCTCATATGAAGACTGATGTTCTGAACCCTAGTGTGTGTGGATGTGGATGTGTGTCCATGTGTATGTGTTTTACTTGTCCAGATCTTTGAAGAAGAGCACAGTGTTCTGTACCTGGATCAAGGTGGAGTGCTGGTTGCTATGAAACACACATCTCTCCCGATACGACATCTTTGGTAAGGGCAGCTGCCGCTGGTGAGCTGTGCACATGATGGTTCTGCACCACAGAGACCAGCCTAAGAATCAGGCTATCAAACTGTGACTGTGTTTGTAGTAAAATATCAATGTACACATTTGCTCTGTCAAAATAAAATTGTAATGTGCAGTTTCAGAAAAGGAGGGGTGGAGTTAAAAAAGAGGAGAAAAAAAGGTTCTACCCCCCTGACAGAGGAATTGCATTATGGTTTTCACTGTGGCAGTACCCGCACCAGTACCTTATTCTCTCAGTCAATCCCAGGTAGCATGACAGTCACTATCAGGTATAGTCTATGAGTAGCTTACCTTCTTGCAGTTACCCTTCCCAAAGGATATTTCCTGGAATTTAGTATTTGTGTTCATTGTGTGCATTTTGCAGAGATTAGCATTTCATGACAGTTCTGCTCCTATGTCATGTCTCCTGATCCTGCTTCCTTAGCTTCTGGTTTTCAGGTGACATTCTGCAACTCTGCCTGTGCATCTTCTGCAGATGGATATGCAAGGCCTAACTTCCAGAGGGGTTGCCAATAGGATCCTTCCTCTGTGTTTTTGAAAGTGACTCTTTCTATATGTGAGCTTGCTCAAAGTCAAAAGCCTGGTTTTCCCTCCACTGTTAGTTACTTTGATGACTGAAGGGGAAAGCTGCAAAGAGGAGACAAAGGATTAGCTTAGGGTAAGACATCCATAAAGAAAGGCAGAGCAAAAGGAAAGATCCGTGTGCCTGTCTTGGTCCATTCAGGCTGCTGTAACAAAACAGACAAGTTGGGTAGAGTGTAAACAACAGAAATTTATTTCTCCCAGTCCTGGAAGCTGAGAAGTCCAAGATCAAGGTGCTGGCAGATTCAGTGTCTGGTGAGGAACCTACCCTCTGGTTCATAGATGGTGAATTTTTGCTATGTCCTCACATAGTGGAAGAGGAAAGACAGTTCACTGAATTTTTGCTATGTCCTCACATAGTGGAAGAGGGAAAAGGGCACTAATCCCATTTATGGGGGTTTCACCCTTGTGATCAAATCACCCCTCAAAGGCTTCACCTCCTAATACCATCACGCTGATGATTAGATTTTCAGCGTTTGAATTTCAGGGAGGACATGGATATTCAGATTACGCAGTGACCATAAGAACACCAAAATCCCATCCTTCTATATCCATTCGTTCAATGAGATCTACAAAGATCGATAACAATGCAAGAAGGACATGCTGAGGTCTTAGTCACTTAGAGATTGGTTGGTTAAAATCCATCTAAGTACTCTTGCAAGGCTATTGATCCTTAGGATTACCTAAAAGACTTGCTGGTGGATAGCAGTGAGGTTTTGGAGAGGATCACATTGAAGTCTAACAGCTAATAAAATATTCAAAATTTAAAACAAAATTTGATCAAAAACTTATTATTATTCCCATTTCATACAGCTCTCCCCTTATTGATGTTTAAACACATCTGGGTCCCCATGGCTTGGCTAACTGTATTTCTACCTTCTAATATAATTAAGAACACTTATTTGTATGGAAGGCTCACTTTGACAATACCCCAGGTCCTTTTAAAATCTATCATCTCCTGGTTGCCAGTATCTTTCCTTTGAAAGGATTTGTTTTCCTGTTTTTTTGTTTGTTTGTTTGTTTTTTGAGATCTGATGACTATTATTTTTTTTTCCTGTTATTAGGTTGAGTTTTGACGAAGGGAGATCTTGGAGCAAATACAGTTTCACGTCTATTCCACTTTTTGTGGATGGGGTTCTGGGTGAGCCTGGAGAAGAGACTCTAATCATGACGTAAGTGGGAAACTGTGATGTGTTTCAGTCTCAACATGAGAGTAAATCCAGAAAGATGTTTTGACTGACAGCTAAGTCAGTCTGATTGCTGCTGTTAGGTTTGAAGTTGTTAGCAAAGTCAGTGCATCTTACTATGGGTTCCCAGCAACGAGGAAAGAAAAAGAAAAATGTGGGCAGCTATTTTCTTGGCTGTTATGGTTTTTAGGAGACCTAGTCTGAGAGAAGGCAGCAGCAGGACAAGGCTGTTTTCTTTTTATACTAAATGGGCTTATGGAAATTAGAAGTGATTATTTCAATAGGAAATAAAGCTATACATTTAAAATATCAATAGTAAAGAAAGTGGATATGCAGTAGATCTCAGGCATTTAAGAATGATTTCACTTTAAGTCAGAACACAGAGTTTGATTAAAACCCCACACAGGATTTTATTTTTCCTTGGCTCTTTTCCTAACTCAATTGTGAGGCATATTAGGAAAACCACGAGGACAATCTGTTCTTGTGAAATTGCATTTACATTCATTCTTGTCTGGAAAGTGTGATCGTTAATTTGTGAAAGGGTTGATTAATGACTCTGCTGCCTACGGGTTTCAAACATGAGCTTTGATTTTGAAATATGAAACCGTGGTATTTCCTTGCCCTGGAAAATTGGACATGGAAAACAGAAAGGGAAGGTTTTAAAGTAGTTGATCCTGTCATTAATGAGAATTTCGAAATCAAAGTGAATAGTCGGCACATTTTCTAATCCCCCCCTTCACTTTTTCCAGTGGTAGAAAATAACAACAAAAATTTACTACGCTGCATAGCTACACTTTTGCCCATGGGAAACATATCTAAATTAGTAATTTATTCCACAATTTGCTTTTATTCAATTTTTATATTTGCAAAACAGACGTTTAAAAAAGGCTGGCAGAAAAGGCAACATTGTGGCTTTTATTTACTTCTACAGTTGATGATTCCAACACCTCATTAAATATTTAAGTCTCTCTGAATAAGGAGAGTGGAATGCACGGTGTAGGGACAGTTGGAATTCTGCTGCCCACTCTCTTAGGGACTGGTGGGAAAGTACATTAGCACGGACAACCTGGGAACCATGTACATTAGCAAGAATGTAGAAATGTAATCTTGGACCACATAGAATGCAACATTAGTGATGTTTCCTCAGCCATTTTTTTTTTCAACCATTCTTGTGGTACAATATATACAAGTGGACTCTTGACTCAAACACCCTGGGTTCTGGCTCTCCCACTTATTAGTAACTTGACTTTGGTTTTTGCGTGTTGACAAAATTCTATGAGCCTCAAGTTATTCATCCCTGAAGTGGATCCACTAATAGCACCCTCCTGATGAATGTGTTTTGAGGATTAAATATGATCCTCGTAATGAGCTTAGCATGCACTAAGCCCATGGTAAACACTCAGCAAATGCTACGTGTTGTTATTACTGTTGGCATTATTATTACTGTGATTACTTTTATCATCATGAACTCTGTAGAGTGTTTGGACACTTCAGCCACCGCTCTGAATGGCAGCTGGTCAAAGTAGACTATAAGTCCATTTTCGATAGAAGGTGTGCCGAGGAGGACTACAGACCCTGGCAGCTGCATAGCCAGGTAGGAGGAAGAAACTGAGACTAAGCCCTGGGCAGGAGACATGGGACGTGTTGGGGGAAAGCTAGTTGTTAAGGTGTAGGAACTGGTGTGCCAAAATGCGATCTAGTGCTTTCTTGCATGGTTTGTGTTCCACAACAGTGAACAAACTCAACATATATAGCTTATTGTGAAGTCATTTCTGTTTTTATTGTGCTGGGATATAATGAGATAAAATTCAAATGTGCTTGGCTCAGACTTACAACTCAAAATGAAATACCAACTCAGCACTGAGATCTAAACATAATTTATCTGAGCATGTCATATGGTTGCATGGGGGGGCAGGGGCAAGGAAAAGATATTCAATTTTTTCTACCAATGCAAACAGAGACATAAAATAACAAAATTATGCTGGGTGAGCGGTGCCAGAAAAATCCTTTCTTTCCATCACCTTGATTCCATGGGATTAGATAGTGCCTCTTGCCTCGTTCCAAAGTATCATGGTACAAGAATGCAGAATTATTAATAAGAAACTTTCCTTTGTCCTGGCCTCTCAGCTATTCAGCTCATATTCAAAATGCTTAGAAGAAAGCATCTCTCCTTTGATTTCCCAAGGCAGAAGTCATTCTGCAGGCCTCTCAAGGGACCAGGTGAAAGTTCTTGCTGTAAAGCCATCACCGTATTCAGGCAGTGAAACATCATATTCTTCAAACCTAGACTAAGTACTGTATTTCCATGTAGATGTGTAATGGAGCCAGTTAAAGCAAGCTTGCTCAAGAAAGTATATAGTGGATTGCATAAAATTCTGCTCTGGTCTTTCAGTAACACAAAAGAAGCTGTGTTTTATAGTGGGCACTGCATTAGCTAGAAACATCTACTCTATTCAGGGGCTGAACAACAAAATTGTCACTCATTTACATTGCTGATATTTTCCCCTTTGTGATGCATAAGCATTGTGGTATTCAAAGCTTTTATTTATTTTGAGGAATTTGAATTTAGCTCTCATACTTGTCTGATAAATGAACATAAAATCAGTGCTATGAAGTTGTGTGGGCAGAGGCATAATATATTGGGGCAACGTGGATCTTTATGTTTCTTAGCAGTACTCTTATTTCATATGCTCATGAATGACCAACTATATAAATATTGTACTACAGGAAAAATGAACTTACTTACTACAGATTTGTTGGCAATATACTAATTACAGGCTGAGTCTTACTTATGTGTGTCCTTCATAGCACTGCACCTAACACCTCGCCAAATAAAGGTTTGCTAAGTATATGGGAGTTAAGGACATTATTTGACACATCCTCAATGTTTCTTAGGATTGCCTTTATAATCACATTTTACAATAGGGCTCTAGACATCGAAAAGAAAATGCTGTTAGCACAAAGTGGGCTTCCAAAGTTCATATTCTACTAAGGTTGTCAGTATCTTCCTAGTCTGCCCTGAAGTGGAGCAGGGAAATTTAAGCTATGTGTTCCATTGTGTGTGATCCTTGTCTCCTTACAGGGGGAAGCATGCATCATGGGAGCAAAGAGGATATATAAGAAGCGAAAATCAGAGCGGAAGTGTATGCAAGGAAAATATGCAGGAGCTATGGAATCAGAACCCTGTGTCTGCACAGAGGCTGACTTTGACTGGTGAGCTTGCACAGTTATCCCATGGAGTCATCCAGTGTATCAAATCCACATGGGCCTTAAGGAAAACTGAGGTTTGAAATAATAGTAACACGTGTAAGGCTAAGCAGCAAGCCTTATATTCTTATAAAATTACCTCTTCGGGACATTGTGGTTTATTATCTATGTGCATGTACATGTATGAGAAAACCAGGAGTTTCTTTATACATAAAGAATATTCAGAAGATGACTCATAATTATCTTCATATTGCTGATAGATCTGAGGACAAAACAGAGACAAGATTCACCCTGTGCTGCTTCAAACAGCAGCACTAAAAACAAATAAGTGTACTTTTTAGAGAGCAAATATGTTTGTGTTCTAGATAAAAGACTTTCTATAATCTAGAGTCCCCTGTAATGGAACAATGGCCTTATAAAAGGCAGTAAGTGTTTTGTTCCTGAAAGTTTTAAATCAGTGGTCAGCTGTCCACAGCTTATGAAAGCTGTGGAAGACATTTCTGGACTCAATGCAAGGGTGGATTCAAGGGCATTGCAAATCTATGACTCCACAAACCTAATGGTAGCAGAGGCTTCTGCTTTACCAGGATTAAGCTAATTTAAACTAGACAAGTAGGGAGACATTTGGAGATTAAACTAAGCTCAGAGTATTTTAGACTTCTTCCTGAAACATTTGCTAAGCAGAAAGCTAGCTTGTGGGGCCAACAATGCCTTTGCCTTTTTCTTGGTCAGTGTTCTGTGTGAGGTGACGTTGACAAATTATTGAGAACAAGTAGATGTTAACTCTCTTGTTAATTTCCATCTCATTTTGTTTGCTTTTTTTCTCTTCTGTTTTTTTTTTTTAAATATGTTTTTCATTTAGAGAAAGCAATTGCTAAATATGTAGGTAAATGTTAAACTTTGCAACTTGATCTGCATAAGAATTAAAGTCATTCTTTAACAATTTGTTTCTGTGTAGCAATCACAGGTCACATAGCTGATCATCAAAATATCAGTGGCTGTACTGAGATACTGTGTACATACACATCACATATTAGAAAAAGTAAGCTTTTTCTCATGGTAGACCTCTGAAGATGATCGCTGAATAAACAGTGTTGGGAATATCTGGGAAAATTGGTCACCAGTAGTTAAGACGGATAACCCATTGCTGGTCCCCTCTTGTTGGTGGACAAGGCAGGCCAAAAGCCAATGCTGTATCTCTTTGGGCTCAGCCAGAGGGCAATGGAGCCTCAGTTACATCAGAGCTCACAAGGAATTCTGCAGGGGCCTCTGCATCCATGACTTCCATTTTACTCAGTGCAACATGATTACATTACAATGACAAAAATGTTTGATTCCTTTCCTACCCTCGGGACTGACACTCTGAAATACATTCACAGGGCAAACTACCATGAGATTTTAAGTCATTCATCACATTCCTCTTTGTGAAGCCTGACTGCTTCTCATTCATTCACTCTACTCAAGGAGGATTTGCAAAGGAAGTTAGCATTTGGCCTTACGAAACAGCCATTCTCTTGCAGAGAGCAAATTTATTTTCTGGTAGAGAACTAAAGAGGAAAAGTAAGGAGGCGAGATGTTCCAACTCAATTTCTCCTGGAAACATTTGTTTCTTTGGGAATCTTTTCTCCAAGTTTCCATTGTTGTCATTGTTGTTGCTGTTTTTCTTTTCTAAATGTAAGCTAGTCCATAGTGAAGGGAACACAAGATTAAGGAAAGCAATTAGGCTTCTCCATTTCTGCATCTGCATCTCTCACACTCTCGGTCTTGGCCTAATCCTTGCATTCATTTGAAATTGGAATTGGCTACCCTTCCCCCAGCCAAAATGCATTCTGAGAAGTGAGAGTCACTATGAGGTTTTCTGGTCAAATGGTATTTTTGTAACTGCATGATTACTGAAAATATTTTGGAATGTTCACCATGACTTTCTTGGGTTTCTACTAGTAGCTGGAATTTCAATGGTTCCAGGTAACTGTAGCATAATGAAAGGTGGTTGTCATTGAATTTTTCTTTTTGGCTTGGCTCTCCTTTGGACAGTCCCCCAGATGACCTTGCCTGTCATTCCCCAGCATTTGTAAAGTAATTTCCTGCAGTGAACACAGGGTGTCCTGTAGGCAGCAATTCTGAAGTCTTCCTACCCATGCTGTGTTGAACCAGCACCAAATCCAGCTGGTATGTGCAGAGTTCCAAGTACTAGCTGCCTGGTGACAGCCACCTGATCTGAGCTGATTTCTTCTTTCCTGAGCCTTGTGTGCCAGCATCTCACCTCCTTTACACAGATGGGCCAATCCCTGCTAATGCTTGCTGATTGCTGCCTACAATTTGTCTGTGCATGTGGGGGTACAATTTGTTGTCACTCTCTATGCCTGGGTTTATCTTCCAGAAACAAAGAATATCAGGCTATTTAGAGGCCCCAGGAGACAAGAATTAGAGGAGACTGAGAGATATGTCTTTGACTATTTCCAGGGTAGAAAAATGATTTAAAGTAGTTAGTCCCAACTGGCAGCACCAACTGCCTAGGACAAAACTTTTCCTTAGGGGAATGCTCGAGACACTCCTGAAGGACATTTACTTTCTGACTGTGACTTTGAAGCATATGGCTTGTGCACAGAGAGACCTGGCTTGTCTCTCTACTGGGCGTACCCAGATGTCTTGGAAGAGCATCTCAAAGACATCACCAGTAATGAGGATTGTGCCACATGTGGCTGTGTTAAACTCTGTGATGACATGTTCACTGAGGGTTCAGCTTCCAGCACTGCCTATTTTCTAATTACAGCTGTCTCTGGGCCCAACGAAAATCAGTATTGTGTATTTTTCTAATAAGAACATAATCTACCCTTTCAGTTTACAGGTGTGTAAATGGAATTATAGGTTCTGTAGGATATTTTCATGGATAATTGATAGCTATTCCATGGGAAAGAAAACATTCCATTTTTGAGAAGACATTGATTCAGGATTTTTTTTTTTTCTCCTTTTTTTCTTTTTTCGTGTCCGGCAATGGACCGCAACCCTCAGTGTCACGCCCGTACCGGACCGGGACCGGCAACGGGATCGCAACCCTCGGTGCTGCGCCCGCCCCTCGCTCAGCCAGTGAGCGGGAACCGGTCTGTATGTGGGATCCGAACCCTCGGCAGGAGCGCCGCTGCACTCCCAAGCGGCGCACTGTAGCAGTGTTCCACCAGGCTGGCCCAAGATTTTTTTTTTTTTTAATTGATCTGGGTATATGTTAGCTGTGGACTAATAGGGAATTGTTCTCAGCAATTTTTCCACCCACTGAAAGGTTTTTCTTGGTTCTTTCCCCAATAGTGACTATGGTTATGAGCGACACAGCAATGGTCAGTGCCTGCCAGCATTTTGGTTCAATCCATCCTCTCTGTCGAAGGACTGCAGCTTGGGACAGAGTTACCTCAATAGTACTGGGTGAGTATCTGAGGTAGTGACCTTGAGAGGCTAACCTTTGCCACTTTTAAGCATGTGTTATGGTGACAGAATTATTTCTGATAAAAGACCCCAGGCTTATTTCACTACAGCATAATGTATTTGCTTGGGCTCATTTTAATACTGCAGCACAGCTTTGCATTAATTGTGAAAGTTTCATCTGAGAATAAGACCCTAGTTGCAAATAAATAAATGAGAAAGTTTCCTCGGATAAAGATGTCAAAGATGATATTAATATATAAATTTCTTCATTTTTTTGATACTTTATTTCTGAACTATTTAATAATGTGAGGAAGGCCAAATAGATATTTTATATGTGCATTTTCTGTTTTGTAGATATGGAACCTGGAGTCAGAAAAGAAGCTCATTATCTTTTTAGGAGGATACTAGTGTTAATATGAATGTTTCACTTTCTATGTCTAGTCTTGACACATTTAAAGCATGCATTCTGATCTTTATAATCCTGGAATCAAAATCTAAAATTTTATCTTTAATATTCTGTGTCATGAGGCTCATCCAATATTATTTAAGAATACCATAAAAGGGAACACATTTTATGAGTGCCACAAGCATAAATGATATTTATATACTTATAAATAGTGTGTGGAACTTGTTTGGTTTCTGACACAAATATGTAAAAACACATTTTTGACCCATTGGGTAAAGTTGAATATATGCTGGTTGTATTACCCAGAGCTCTCCAGAGAAACAGAACCAATAGGATGTATATTTATATAGAAAGATTTATTGAAAGGAACTGGCTCATTCTACTATGCAGCCAGGCAAGTCCCAAAATCTGCAGAGTGATTCAGCAAGCTGGAGACCCAGGAGAGCTGATGGTTAAGTTCAAGTCCAAGTCTGAAGACTTGAAAACCAAAGAGCCAATGGTATTGTTCCTGTCCAAGAGCCTGCAAGCTTGAGACCTAGGAACAGCTGGTGTTTCAGTTCAAGTCTGAAAGCAGGGAAAAAGAAATCATTCTAATATGAATGCCATGGGGCCGAAAAAATTTTCTCTGTACTCAGGGCATATCAAACTGTTGGTCTTTTTGTTCTGTTCAGATGTTTGCCTGATTGGATGAGGCCCACCCACATTAGGTAGGGTGATCTAATTTAAGTATTAATCTCATCTGAAATCATCCTCAAAGAAACACCCAGAATAACATTAGACCAAGTATCTGGGCACCTTGTGGCACAGTCAAGACGACACATAAAATTAACCATCATAAGTGATATTAAGGAATTATAGTTATATATTTAGGTGTGATACAGGCATTTCAGTTAGGGTAAGAACAAAATAATCATTCTTTTTAGAGATACATAGTGTTTTGTGTTTTGTTTCAAACTGTTAAAGAAAGAAATAGATATTGATAAGTTATAGAGATAAGTTAATGGGCTGCATGTGGATTTGTTATACTATTTCTCTTATTTGTGCACGTTTGAAAATTCTGATATCAAAAAGTTAAAAGGAAAAAAAAGAGCAAGAAGAGAAAGAAAAAAGAGAAAAAGAAGGAGAGGGAAAAAAGAAAAAGAAAGATAGGCAGGAAGGAAGGAAGGAAGACGGTGGAAGGAAGGAAGTGTGGAAGGAAGTGTGGAAGGAAGGAAGGAAGGGAGGGAGGGAGCTTGTAGATCTCCTAGGTCATTTTAACATTTAGCATTTAACTCTCCAATTAGCTTAAACAGCCTCCACAAACCATCGCTTTTTCTTCCTTCAAAGGTTAGTTACCCTCAAATTTCAGTCAAATTAGGGTATAAATACACAATGGAAACTACTCAACCATAAAAAAAAAAATTCTGCCATTCATAGCAACATGGATAAGCTTGGAGAAAGTCATGTTAAGTGAAATAAGCCAGGCACACAAAGAGAAATACTGCATGTCCTCACTCAAAGCGGGAGGGAGGGAGGGAGGAAGGAAGATGGTGGAAGGAAGGAAGACAGTGGAAGGAAGGAAGTGTGGAAGGAAGGAAGGAAGTGTGGAAGGAAGGAAGGAAGGAAGGAAGGAAGGAAGGAAGGAAGGAAGGAAGGAAGGAAGGAAGGAAGGAAGGAAGGAACCTCACCAATAAGCTGGTTCTACTTGACAAAACCTCTTCTCATTTTTCATGCCAGCTGCAGTACAGAGAATCCACTAGAGGAGGTGAAACTTCCATCTATATGCTTCTGTATTCAAAAAATTTAAATCATTTTAATTTTTAAAAAAATATTACCAAAGTAATAAATACTTTTCTTGAAAAGGAGGGAAAAGACATGAAATGGACGTCAACTATTCCCATCTCTGATGTTAAGGATTCCTCGAATCTTTGAATAAAGAAATAAGCTGTGATTTATTTGAACAATAACACACAATCTGAGGAAAATACAAATAACATTTTTACAGCAATGGGTCAGTGAAGTCTTCAGCATCTAGTACCGTGGGAGGGAAAAAAGAAATCGAAAAGGGCTATAAAATAACTACAAACTTAATGGAGAAGGAATGCCAAAGACAAGACTTTTATTACTCGCATGTACCGGCATGTTTAGACATTGTAAAGGGCATTGGAAACCCCTAAAGCTAATTTAAAAATTGATTTTTTTTTTCCAACAACTCAATCAGTCAAGAAAGTTATGTTTTTCACTCTTTGGTATTGATGAGAGGAAGCTGAAGCCCAGATGGGTCAAAATTGCTCCAGATGCTTTTCAAATCACTGGAATAAGGCAGAATAAAGGCCCAAGACCCCTCACTTTTCAGTTTATTGAGATTTTATAAATCCTTACTAATATAAAAGAAAACATCACAGATGATTAAATTACAATGTCCTATTTTTATATTATATTTTCTATAATGATATTATATTTCATATTATTATTTTATAGAGCATATAAGGATAAAAGGATTTATCCTTATATCATCTATGCCCTATAAAATTAAAATTACAATTTCAATTAAAACTGTGACTCAGCAATGTGTCCAGGTATATAAATGTTTGTCGATGCAGTTATTATGTTCAATAGTCACAGAATCACCACAGTCCCTCCTAGGGCTCGACTGCCACTCTCAGGGATTTGTCCATAGCCGTGGGTATTACATGACAGTATCTGACCCAAAATGTTTTTTGTTAAGTTGCCACATCCACCGGTTTTATTGTTTACATTTAAACAGTTTGCAGAAAATCATCAGCATCAGTGAGCAAGAGTGTGCAAGGAGCATGTGATAAATGTCAGCCATCAGCAGGTATGATAAATGTCCTACTCTCACAAGTGAGGTGCTCATAGGTGAAGGATGACCACTGAATGTGGTCCTACAGGCTAAAGTCAGGGGGAAAGATGTCAACAGTAACCCCACTGATCGGCGTATTGTCTAAACTCCACATTTTGGACTAGGAACAAGAAAACTCTTAGTTGGGACAGGGCCTGAAATCATCTTCAAAGAAAGCCTCACACCATTGAATTCTCATTGCAGCATCTGTAGCCAATTCAAGTGTTGGCAAGAGGTAAAACGTAGACAGAATCGAAAAAGAACTTTGTGCCCTTCTTAATGTCACTCCAGCTCCTCACCCCAGATGTCACTTGGCTATGTGTCAATTCAGTGGAGTTTTGTAAGAACAGATTAAATATTTAATGTTGTAGCCATTAAACATTTAGCTTTTCACTTAAAAATATTTAATTATGAAAGAAAAATATACATCTTTTTTTTTTTTTTTTTTTTTCTTTTATCTTTTTCCGTGTCCGGCAACAGATCGCAACCCTCAGTGTTGCCCCCGTACCGGACCGGGGACCAGCAACGGGATTGCAACCCTCGGTGCTGCTCCCGCGCCTCGCTCAGCCAGTGAGCGGGAACCGGTCCGTATGTGGGATCCGAACCCTCGGGCGGGAGCGCCGCCATGCTTCTCAAGCAGCGCACTTATCCAGTGTGCCACCGGGCCGGCCCATACATCTTTTATATGCTTAAAATGTATGTCTTTTATCCTTAAAAAGCCAGTTTAGATCATCACCTCAATCCTGGCCTTCTTTCCCACACAACTGTGACCTGTTTGATACTCATGCTTCCAAACACCTTTCTTTGAATATGCCAAGAAAAAATATACAAAATTAATCTGGGGGTTGTTTTTCTATGGGATTTCCTACTAGATATTCTGTTCTTCTATTTGCCTTTTTCATTCAAAACTATATCTTAAACATCTTTCCAAGTCAGAATCTATAGGGCTACTTTCCATCACATTTCTTTTAATTTCATGGTATTAAGTATTATAGGATGATTTAGTCATCCCCTTTCGTGGACATTTGAGTTATTTTGTTTTTTTTATGCCACTATAACCAATACTGCAATTAACATTCTCATGCCATAATACTTGCTATTAAAAAACATACCGATAATTAGAGTCTCTTTTGGCAATTGGAGGTATTTCTGTCAGCTGGGAAAGGAAATTCCACTCAAGCAACTGGTTACTTTTTAGACCTAAGTATCAGACACAGCCAAATATCTTCCCCACAAGGATTAAAGCACTAGGTCCCTGTTCACATGCTGACTGTGAGTTGCACAAATTAGAGATTCATTTGTATTAACTGCTGTCCTCCTTTAAAACACAAATGCTTGCGGATTCTGTAAGGAAAAGCTGAGAGGATGGAAAAGTAAGATTTCACCAAATTAGTAAGGTGAGAAAGGTCATTTCAGGCAGAAGGAACAAGAGATGACTCTGGTCAAAGAGCCACACTGGTAGTCTTCTCAAGGACAAGCCTTGACTTGCCAGTGCCTGGAAACATATAGAATTAGAGAGACAACCTGTACCCTATGTCTCTCTAGTGCCAGTGGTAACCCATCCATGGGCACCTGGGGCTCAGTCAGTACAGAATCTGTATTAGCCTCAGGGCTGGGATGAAGTGCAGAGGAATCACAAGTGTAGGACCGGCCTGAGCACGAGTGCCTCCATAAATGTTCCCTAGATGCCTGACCTGCCTCACCCTATCCCTTACAACATAGCACACGGTGCAGACGTGCGGTCAGAACTAG